TTACCGAGCTCTTGCTGATTTCTATCATCTTCAACATTGGGAAAATGGAAGCAGTAGATGGAAGCAGAAACCCAGGCAGACAGGGCTTTACAAATAAAGGGAAGGAACTCAGTCAGTCCCATTGGCATACTGGCAGGAACTATTTTGCCAGGAGCAGGAACATGAAATGCTCTTGAGTCATGTTTCTGGGAATCTAGCTGTTGAATGCAGTTGTCCATCTCTTTCTAGGTTTAGTTTTGTTGTTGGCTAAAATCCATGAGGCTTGTGACTTAAGTGTGTCATTCAAGAGACGTTATCTTTAAAGAGTTAAATGCATGTTTGTTGGAGGAGTCCCCAGACAAAGGGATTCTGAAAATGGAACTGGTAAAGCTTATATGGCAAGTAACATTGAGTTACTAAACAAATCATTTTTACATGTGCTCTGATGGTTTAAATGAAATCCATAATGTAGCTAGTTTTTAGTTTACAGCGAAAGGATGACAAAGTCTGTAAACTGCTGTGCCATGTTTTGCTCTGACACTTGGCTGCTTCAGCAAGTCTCTCCTACACCCCACAGTCCATTTCTTCACAGGGACACCAATGTGAGGGGTTGTCAAGTTGAAGACTTTGTTTCAGAAAGGCAGAGGTTTTAGTGTAGGTTAAACTAAGCATCAGTAGCCCCCTACAGCATTTATGCACATAGAACATGTATTTTAAATGAATAAGTTACATATGAATAAAAAATGTTGTCCTTTTTCCTAATAGGAACAGAGGAAAAAATCCAGGAACTTCTGGAAAATAGGAAAAAACTGGATTCCAAGATTGAACTACTTCAGGACTTAAAAGAAGTTGTCCTTCCTGCCCAAGAGAGCACTGCTAGTACATCTAGTACCATGTCCGAATAACCCCTTGGTCTGTATGAGATGGTGTCAATATTTAGGATTTTCTAATGATAGAAACCGTAGAGCACGTCTGGTCAGTGTGTGTGTCATTCCCTCCCCCGCTCCCAGGACAGGGACACAAGCCAGAACTGGGTGTTTTACTCATTTTTATACCTCACTGTTGCAATAATTTTAAGTTGTCCTGTTCTTAAAATTTTTACCACAGATCAATGAGTGTTATAGGCCTTTTTTAAAGCTCAGCAAAACACTCCAATGAACTTTTTTCTCAAAGGCAGCATCAGCTGCCACAGAACACTTGTTAAAGTCACTTTAACTGTGGGAGCCCTCTCCTAACTATGGGGTAGCTGCTTCACTGTCTGCATCCAGACAGTCACATTGTAAGGTTCAGGTTGCTGCTTTGGCTTTCCAAAGAAGATAAATCAGCAGAACTTGCACTCAAAGAAGCCTTCTGAATTATAAACAAGACTTTGTGAGTTGCTTTTTTTAAAATGAAATTATTCTCAATTAACTGGTTAATATGTATTTAGTGCTGCTGTAAGGGCAGTGCTGAAACAGTGTTTGCTGGCAGACCAGAAATGGTTAGGCATCATACTCTAAAAAACACGTACAATGAAAAATGGATCAAATGATGGACTGTGTACCTTCTGTCACGATCCGTGACCTATTATGTCTCCTTATTGGAGTGTATTAACTTATCAGGATTTGCTGAGAGATCCACACGTGGGTATCGCCTCACACAGAGGATACAGGAACTTATGTCCCGACTTTTTTGAGTGAATAACTCGCTCAGTGCTTACTAAATTTCTAACAACAGCAAGGTTTATTGTGGGGAAAACAAAGCAATTTGGGGCAGGAGGTTCAAAAGGAGTGATTACAACACATTAAACATATATGGGTACACCTTAGTTACACATCTTATTCAAGTGCTGGAAGGAGAGGGGAGGGGTATGCCCGAATGGCTGGATTATATTTTCCCCTATAAGCTGGGGTAGCCGGAATTGTCTCACCACACGGCAGTGCAGGTAGGATGAGCTGGGTAGCAAAGAAGCTGCGGGCACTCCAAGCGCAGGTCGCCCCCCCCACCACAAAGCGGCGACAGTCGGTGCGCGGCTCCGGGACCGTAGGTGTGCAGACGCTGGAAACGCGGCGGTTGCAGCGGCGCTGGGACTTTTGGCAGCAGCGGCGGCGGGCAGGCAAGC